ATAAATCCTTTGTCAGATGGGTAGATTACAAAAATTTTTTTCCCATTCTGGTGGCTGCTGATTCACTCTAATAATTGCTTCCTTTCCTGTTCAGAAGCTCTGGAGTTTAATTTGATCACATTTGTCTATTTTGGCTTTGAATGCCAATGCTTTTGGTGTTTTAGTCATGAAGTACTTGCCTATGCCTATGTTCTGAATGGTTTTGCCTAGGTTTTTTTCTAGGGTCTTTATGGTGTTAGGCCTTATGTTTAAGTCTTTAACCCATCTGGACTTAATTTTAGTGTAAGGTTTCAGGAAGTGGTCCAGTTTCTGCTTTCTGCACATGGCTAGCCAGTTTTCCCAACACCATTTATTAAACAGGGAATCCTTTACCCATTGTTTGTTTTTGTCAGGTTTGTCAAAGATCAGATGTTTGTAGAAGTGTGGCATTACCTCTGAGGCCTCTGTTCTGTTCCATTTGTCTATATCTCTGTTTTGGTACCAGTACTGTGCTGTTTTAATTACTGTAGCCTTGTAGTATAGTTTGAAGTCAGGTAGCATGATGCCTCCAGCTTTGCTCTTTTTGCTTAGGATTGTCTTGGCTATGTGGCCTCTCTTTTGGCTGCATATGAAGTTTAAGGTGGTTTTCTTCCAGTTTTGTGTAGAGGGTCATAGGTAATTTAAGGGGATAGCATTGAATATATAAATTGCTTTGGGGAGTACGGCCATTTTCACGATATTGATTCTTCCTAACCATGAGCATGGAAAGGTTTTCCAACTATTAGTGTCCTCTCTTATTTTCTTGAGCAGTGGTTTGTAGTTCTCCTTGAAGAGGTTCTTTACATCCTTTGTTAGTAGTATTCCTAGGTATTTTATTCTCTTTGTAGCAATTGTGAATGGGAATTCCTTCTTGAGTTGGCTCTCTGTACGTCTGTTATTGGAGTATATGAATGCTTGTGATTTTTGCAAATTGATTTTGTATCCTGAGACTTTGCTGAAGTTACTTATCAGTTTTAGGAGATTTTGGGCTGAGACGATGGGGTCTTCTAGATATACAATCATGTTGTATGCAAATAAAGACAATTTGACTTCCTCCTTTCCTAATTGAATACGCTTTATTTCTTTTTCTTGCCTGATTGCTCTGGCTAGAACTTCCAATAATATATTGAATAAGAGTGGTGATAGAGGGCATCCTTGTCTAGTGCCATTTCAAAGGGAATGCTTCAGTGTTCAGTACAATACTGGCTGTGGGTTTGTTGCAAATAGCTTTTATTATTTTGAGATATGTTCTGTCAATACCTAGTTTATTGAGAGTTTTTAGCATAAAGGGCTGTTGAATTTTGTTGAAGGCCTTCTCTGCATCTATTGAGATAATCATGTGGTTTTTGTCCTTGGTTCTATTTATGTGGTGAATTACGTTTATAGACCTGCTTATGTTGAAGCAGCCTTACAATCCCAGGATTAAGCCTACTTGATCGTGATGGATAAGTTTTTTTTATTTGCTGTTGCAGTCGGTTTGCCAGTATTTTATTGAAAATTTTTGCGTCTATGTTCATCATGGAATCGCCTGAAGTTTTCTTTTCTTGTTGAATCTTTGCCTGGTTTTGATATCAGGACAATGTTGGTCTCATAAAATGATTTGGGAAGAATTCCCTCTTTTTGGATTGTTTGGAATAGTTTCAGAAGGAATGGTACCAGTTCCTCTTTGTATGCCTGGTAGAATTTGGCTGTAAACCCATCTGGACCTGGGATTTTTTTTGGATGGTAGGCTATTAACTGCTGCCTCAACTTCAGCTCTTGTTATTGGTCTATTCAGGGTTTCAACTTTTTCCTGCTTTAGGCTTTAGAGTGTGTAAGTGTTCAGGAATTTATCAACTTCTTCCAGGTTTATTGGTTTATGTGCATAGAATTGCTTGTAGTAATCTCTGATGGTGGTTTGTATTTCTTTGAAATCTGTGGTGATATTCCCTATATCATTTTTTATTACATATATTTGATTATTATATCTTTTCTTTTTTGTTAATCTGGCTAGTAGTCTATTTTGTTGATCTTTTCAAAAAACCAGCTCCTGAATTTATTAATTTTTTTGGAAGGGTTTTTGTGTCTCTATCACCTTCAGTTCTGCTCTGATGTTCGTTATCTCTTGTCTTCTGTTAGCTTTGGAGTTTTTTTGATCTTGCTCCTCTAACTCTGCCAATTTTGATGATAAGGTGTCAATTTTAGATCTTTCCGTGCTTGTCATGTGGTCATTTATTGCTATAAATTTTCTTCTAGACACTACTTTAAATGTGTCCCAGAGATTCTGGTATGTTGTGTCTTCGTTCTTGTTGGTTTTGAAGAACATTTTCATTTCTGCCTTTATTTCATTGTTTATCCAGTCAACATTCAAGAACGGGTGGTTGTTTCCATGAAGTGTGGTTGTGAGTTAATTTCTAAATTCTGAGTTCTAATTTGATTGCACTGTGGTCTGAGAGACTGTTTGTTATGATTTCCATTCTTTTGCATTTGCTGAGGAGTGATTTACTTCCAATTATGTGGTCAACTTTAGAGTAGGTGTGATATTGTGCTGAGATGAATGTATATTCTGTGGATTTGGGGTGGAGAGTTCTGTAAATGTCTATCAGGTTTGGTTAGTCCAGGTCTGAGTTGAAGTCCCGGATGTCCTTGTTAGTTTTCTGCCTCGTTGATCTAATATTGATGGTGGAGTGTTAAAGACTCCCACTTTATTATGTGGAAGTCTAAGTCTCTTTTTAGGTCACTAAGAACTTGCTTTATATATCTGGGTGCTCCTGTATTGGGTGGTTATATATTTAAGATTGTTAGCTCTTCTTGTTGCATGATCCTTTTACCGTTATGTAATGTCCTTCTTTGTCTCTTTTGATCTTTGTTGGTTTAAAGTCCATTTCATCAGAGATTAGGGTTGTAACTCCTCCTTTTTTTTCTCTCCATTTGCTTGGTAAATCTTCCTTCATCCTTTTATTTTGAGCTTATGTGTATCCTTGCATGTGATGGGTTTCCTGGATACAGCACATCGATGGGTTTTGACTTGTTATCCAATTTGCCAGTTGGTGTCTTTTGATTGGGGCATTTAGCCCATTTACATTTAAGGTTAATATTGTTATTTGTGAATTTGATCTTACCATTTTGATGCTAACTGGTTGTTTTGACCATTTTTTGATGCAGTTTCTTTATTGTATTGATGGCCTTTACCATTTGGTATATTTTTGGAGTGGCTAGTACCGGTTGTTCCTTTCTATTTTTAGTGATTCTTTCAGGAGTTCTTATAAAGCAGGACTGATGGTGATGAAATCTCTGAGCCATTGCTTATTAGTAAAAAAAATTATTTCTCCTTCACTTATGAAGCTTAGTTTGGCTGGTTATGAAATTCTAGGTTGAAAGTTCTTTTCTTTAAGGATGTTGAATATTGGCCCCCACTCTCTTCTGGCCTATGGGGTTTCTGCTGAGAGATCTGCTGTTAGTATCATGGGCTTCCCTTTATGGGTAACCCGACCTTTCTCTCTGGCTGCCCTTAGCATTTTTTCCTTCATTTAAACACTGGGGAACCTGACGCTTATGCGCCTTGAGGTTGCTCTTCTTGAGGAATATCTACAGCATAATGAGATTGGCTAGCATAAAGTCAAGAGAACTCTAGAGAATATAGGTCTAACCAAGGACAGGCATGGTGGCTCATGCCTAAAATTCCAGCAACTTAAGAAGCCAATACAGGAGGGCTGCTTGAGACCAGGAGCTAGAGACTGGCCTGGGCAACACAGCAAGACCCTGTCTCTATCCAAAATAAAGAAAAAATTAGCTGGGTGTGGTGGCACACATGTGTGGTCCAAGCTACTCAGGAAGCTGAAGAGAGAGGGTAGTTTGAGCCTGGGAGGTCAGGGCTGCAGTGAGCCACAATTTGGCACTCCAGTCAAGCCTGGGTGGCAGAGCAAGACCCCATCTCAAAGAACAAAACAACAAAGAAAACCAATTACAGACAGAAAAGTAATAGAGCTAATAAGCTAAGATAAGGAAAGATGTTGAAATGTGACAAATAAATAAAGCAACATGAGGGCTTTTCTCTGTTTAAAATAATAAAAAAACTTATTAAATTATAATACCATGTGCTGGCAAAGGTGCAGTGAAATGGGCACTTTCTTATACTATGGAGGGTGTTTAAATTGTATATAAGCCTTCCAAGGTAAAGTTTGGCAATTTTTTAGAATAACAGAGACAGTGTCTCTATTACTGCCTCCTCCAATGTCTGGCCTCAAGAAATCTTCATGCCTTAGCCTCCCAAAGTGCTGGGATTATAGCTGGGAGGCACCCAAAACCTGTCAGTTTACATCAAGGGCAATGAGAATGTCCATTCACCATGACTGACAGTAATCGTATTTCTGGAAATACCTTTAGAGACAATTCAATCTAAACAAAAGGTCATCTGCACAAACGCAGTGAAAATCTGGGAGTAATTTAAGACAGAGTGCTTAAGTAAAAGAAGAAACACTTAAAAGAAATTAAACTATACTATTTATAGGCACCTGGTAAAAGATCAGTAAATGTTAGCTGCTAGTTTTTTGTTGTTTTGAGACAGGGTCTCACTCTGTCACCCAGGCTGGAGGACTCCCTGGACTCAAGTAGCTGGAAGTACAGGCACATGGCACCACACAAGGCTAATGCATATACCTTTCTGTAGGGATGTTGACTCCCTTTGTTACAGAAGTCTGTCTCAGACTCTTGGCCTCAAGCCATCCTCCTGCCTCAGCCCCCCAAAGTGTTGTGATTACTGGTATGATCCACCACACCTGGCCAGCTGCTACTTTTATTATTATTATCCCACTCAATTAAAAATTATGTGACAATAAAACTATCATTTTCAAGGCTATGTAACAATATGTGTCCTACAGCATGATTGTAAAAACATATACAGTCATCCCTCAGTATATAGAGAGGATTAGTTTCAGCCCCTGGTCTCTGCATATGTCAAAATTTATGCATACTCACGTTTTGCAGTCAGCCCTCTGGAACCCTCGTATAGGAAAAGTCCAAATATCGGTTGGGCATAGTGGCAGGCACCTATAGTCTCATCCATTTGGGAAGCTGAAGTGGGCAGATGGCTTTAACTGGGGAGTTCATGGCTGCAATCAGCTGTGATAGCACTACTGTACTCTAACCTGGACAACAGAGCAAGATCCTGTCTTAGAAAAAAAAAAAAAAAAAGGTTAGAAATTGTAATAAGGTATGTTGGGGAAAATTCCATATAAGCAAATTAATGAATAAAGTAAATGGTAATAAATTAGTACAATTGATTTTCTGGAGTTTCTGACCATAAAGGTAAGAAAAATGCAAAACACAGAGACAAAGCATAAAAAAAGAAATTAGGGAAGCATTCTACATGTGTAACAGGATGACCCTGGCCATGTTCATACAGCAGCAGTATGTCACAATATGACACACCTTGGAGAGAAGTTAACATGTGAGGAAGTTGATAAAAATGATCAGAGGAGCAAAATACTGATAGCTATAGTCAAGTAAACCAAGAGCTGATGTCAGAGAAGTAAGAATATTATAGTGTGTGTTGAAGTTCCTGTAAAATATTATTTATTTGCCTTTGTAAAAAATGTATCTACTAAAAGTTATTGCTGTCAAAAGACTAAGTGGGAATAAATCATTAGAATTTATTCTTCTGTTTTTTACTTTTATTTTCCTGCCAAAGCCTTACTTTAGAAATTTTAATTTTTTTAGAAAATTGAACAAGTGTTGATTGTGGTGGATCATGCCCCTAGGATAGGAGGTGGGGGTAGAAGAATCACTTGAGGCCAGGAGTTTGACACCAGCCTAACCAACAAAGTGAGACCCAATGTGTATGAAAAAATTTAAAAAATAACCAGGTGTCATCACATATAGTTACAGTCCTGGCTACTCAGGAGGCTGAGGCAGGAGGATCCTTAGCTCAGGAGTGCAAGCCTGCAGTGAGCTGTGATTGAACCACTGTACTCCAGCCTAGTTGACAGAGTGAGACCCCATATCCTAAAACAAAAAAGAAAAAATAAAAATAGATCAAGTAGCAAGTTGTATGTGGCTTCTCTGAACATTTCTAAACTAGAAGTTCTCAGAGTAATACTTCTAAATCTTTTGGGGTCTAGCATCCCATTACATTTTTTACCTTTATATAAGACTGCTAAGACTTCTTCTTTACATAAATAATTATATTAAAGTTAAAAATAAGAAAAATTTAAAAATATTTTTATTCATTACATATTAATAATAAAATCATTACATGTTGATATAACTAATACAAAACCAAAATTTTAAAATGATTATTATTCATTACATATTAATAATAAAATTGGCTAGGTGAGATGCCTCATGCCTATAATCCCAGAACTTTGGGAGGCTGAGGTGTGTGGATCACCTGAGGTCAAGAGTTCGAGACTAGCCCTCCAACATGCTGAAACCCCGTCTCTACTAAAAAATACAAAATTAGCCAGGTGTGGTGGCAGGTACCTGTGATTCCAGCTACTTAGGAGGTTGAGGCAGGAGAATTGCTTACACCTGGGAGGCAGAGTTTGCAGAGAGTCAAGATCATGCCGTTGCACTCCGGACTGGGTAACAAGAGCAAACTCCATCTTAAACAACAACAATAAAACTACTATGTGTTGATATAAGTAATACTTTTTTTTTTTGAGACAGTCTCTCTCTTTCCCCAAGGCTGGAGTGAAGCATGTAATCTCAGTTCATTGCAACCTCTGCCCCACCCCTGGTTCAAATGGTTCTCCTGTCTCAGCCTCTGAAGTAGCTTGGATTACAGGCACCTGCCACCATGCCCAGCTAATTTTTGTATTTTTTTTAATAGAGATAAGGTTTTGCCATGTTGACAAAGCTGGTCTCAACCTCCTGACCTCAGGTAATCCACCTGCCTCATTCTCCCAAAGTGTTGGGATTGCAGGCGTAAGCCACTGCACCCAGCCAAATTAACATATTTTTTAAAACACTGATTAGTCAGGCAACAATACTTGGAAGGGGTCTCCTCATTCCCAGTGATAAAAACCCCACTGCACGGCTCCACAGTTGCAAGGGCTGCAGAGCCAAAAGGCTCTGACTTGAGATTTCATTACTTTATTTGTATTTCTATTTGTATTGTGAGACAAGGTCCTCCTCTGCCACACAGGCTGGAGTGTAGTTTTGTGCTTATAGCTCACTGCAGCCTCAATGTCCTGGGCTGAAGCCATCTTCCTGCCTCAGCTCCCCAGTGTTGGTAGTGCAGTTGAGTGCCACCATACCTGGCTAATTTTTAAATATTTTTGTAGAGTGAGGAGTCTTGTTATGTTGCCCAAGCTGACCTCAAACTCCTGACCTCAAGAGATCTGCCCATCTCAGCCTCCTGAGTAGCTGAGACTACAAGTACACATCACCATGCCTAGCTACATTTATTTTATTAAATTTTGAAAAATATTTTTGTAGAGAGGAGGTCTTGCTATGTTGCCCAGGCTGGTCTTGAACTCCTGCCCTTAAAAGATACTCCCATCTCTGCTTCCCAAACATCTGGGACTACAGACATGAGCCACTGCACTGAGCCTGAAGAGATTTCTTTAATCCAGCATTCCATATTTGGTAACACTGGGAAAGGCAGTAGTGTTTTTAAAAATTAATAATTCAAAAGAATCAAACTCAACCTTGACCCCTGCCTTCTCTCACACCCCACATCCAGTCTGTCAGTAAATCCTGTTGATTGTCTTCACCATGTACTGAAGATCCCCACCCAGCAACTCCCTGGACTCCTCCCCTATTTCTCCCCTCTGACCATCTCTCACCACCACCATGACCCTGGTCAGGACCACTATCATCTTCCACCTGGATGTTGCCACAGCTTGACCCCCAGCTTCTACCCAAATCTTCCCACAGTCTCTCTCAACTCAGCAGCCAGATAATGCTTTTACATCAGGGGACAGATCATGTCACCTCTCTGCTCAGAACCCTCCTGCAGTTCCCATCTCATAGTAAAAGCCAAAGCCTGAGCAATAACCTCCCAGGGCTTACACGATCTATACTGATCCCCACCCAGCAACTCCATGGCCTCCTCCCCTAATTCTCTCCCCCTCTCCTGCTCCACTGGCCTCCTTCCAGAGCCTCAAACATAACTAAGACACTTTATTCTGCTGTTTCTGCCTACAATGCTCCTCTTTCAGCACCTTGGCCAGCTCCTTCCCCTCCAAGTCTTTGCTCAATTTTCACTTAGGAGGCCACCCCTGACCATTCTATTTAACATTGCCATCTGTCCCCATTCCCACTGCGTTAATTTTTTTAAAAACAAGATCTCACTCTATCACCAAGGCTGGAGTGGTGTGGTGCAATCACAGCTCACTGCAACCTCAAATTCCTAGGCTCAACTGATTCTTTCACCTCAGACTCCCTAGTAGCTGGAACTACAGGTGCATGCCATCATGCCTGGATAATTTATTTTATTTTGAAATGGAGTTTCACTCTTCTTGCCCAGGCTGGAGTGTAATGGTGCAATCCCAGTTCACTGCAACCTCCACCTCCCAGGTTGAAGTGATTCTCCTGCCTCAGCCTCCCAAATAGCTGGGATCACAGATGCATGCCACCATGCCTGGCTACTTTTGTATTTTTAGTAGAGATGGGGGTTTGCCATGTTGGCCAGGCTGGTCTCGAACTCCTGACCTCAGGTGATCCACCCTCCTTGGCCTCCCAAAGTGTTAGGATTACAGGAGTAAGCCACCACACCTGGTCAATTTAATTTTTTGTAGAGACAGGGTCTCACTATGTTGCCCAGGCTGATCTTGGACTACTGGCCTCAAGTGATCCTTCTGCCAGGATTCTTAAATTGCTGGGATTACCAACATCAGCCAAGATGCTTGGCGTCATGTTCATTTCCTCTTGCTGCTGCCACAAACTACCCTACATTAGTCACTTAAAACACCACAAATCTACCAACTTCCAGTTCTGGGAATCAGAAGCCCAAACTAGGTCTATTAAGGCTAAAGTTATGGTGTCAGCAGGGCTGCATTCCTTCTGGAGGCTCTAAAGTGTTCCTTGGCTTTTCCAGCTTCTAGAAGCCACCCCAATTCCTTGGATCATGACCCCTAACTCCATCTTCAAAGTTAGAAGTGAAGCATCTGCAAATCTCCCTATCAAACTCTGCTTCCATCACCACATCTCCTGCTCCAATTCTGACTCTCCTAACCTCTTTCTTTTATAAGGATCTTTGTGATTGCTGGGCATGGTGGATCCCACCCATAATCCCAACACTTTGGGAAGTCAAGGCAGGAGGAACATTTAAGGCCTGGAGTTTGAAACTAGCCTGGACAATATAGCAAGATCCCACCTCTACAAAAGCATAAAAATAAATATTAGCCAGACATGGTGGTGTGTGTCTGCAGTCCCAGATACTTGATAGGCTGAGGTGAAATAATGTCTTTAGCCCAGGAGTTTGAGATCAGCCTGGGCGACATAGCTAAATCTCATCTCTACAAAAATGAGCTGGGCATGGGTGACATACATGTGTAGTCCCAGCCACTTTGAAGTCTGAGGTAGGAAGATCACCTGAGCTTAGGAGGTCAAAGCTATAGTGAGCTATGATCATATCACTGTGCTCCAGCCTGGATGACACAGCGAGATTCTGTCTCAAAAAAAGAAAAGAAATATATATTTGGTCTCTGTCCCTGGTCCCTGGCACAGAGCTTTGAAAGCTTATAAAGACCTCAGTGATAGAGGTGATAGGAGCATCTTTAGTTTTAATATTTGGTCTTGGTCCCAGCTTTCTAACACAAGAGACTCTAAGAACTTTGGGATCTCCAGCATGCTAAGAATGCATTTGGAGATGTGGTTGAGATGAGTGGGTGGCTCCTTGCTCCTGGGTTTCTTCAGGAGGAGGGCTGATTGCCCAAGAAGGAAACCACATAATTAGAGGCTTAGAACTTTCAGCCTCACCTGCTGAACTCCAGGAGGTGAGAGGGGCTGGAGATTGACTTAATCACCAATGGCCAAAGATTTTATCAATCATGTTTGCATAATAGAGTCTCTGTAAACACCCTGAACAACAGAGTTTACAGAGCTTCTGGGTTGCTGAATACAGGAGATGCTGGGAGGGAGGCACGTTCAACAGAGAGCATGGAAGCTCTGTGCCCCGCCCACTTACCTTCCCTTGGGCATCCATCTTTCTTTCATTTCTTTCTCCTTTTCCTTCCTTTCTTTCTTCTCTTTCTTTTTTTTTAAGACAGGGTCTGGCTCTTTTGTCCAGGCTAGAGTGCAGTGGCACAATCTCAGCTCACCACAACCTAAGCTTCCCCAGTCCCCAGCTCAATGCATTCTCACCTCAGCTTTCCTAGTAGCTGGAACTACAGGTGCACACCATCACACCTAGTTATTTATTTATTTTCATTTATTTTTTGAGACAAAATCTCACTCCATAGCCCAGGCTGGAGTGCAGTAGTGTGATCTCAGCTCACTGCAACCTCTGCATCCTGGGTTCAAGTGATTCTCCTGCCTCAGCCTCCTGAGTAGCTGGGATTACAGGTGCACAGCAACACACCCAGCTAATTTTTGTATTTTTAATAGAGACAGGGTTTCAGCATGTTTCCCAGGCTGAACTCAAACTCCTGCATTTAAGCACTTCTCCCAATTCAACCTCCCAAAGTGCTGGGATCACAGGTGTGAACTACTGCATCCAGCATGCACATCTCTTTCATTGGCTGTTTCTGAGATGTATCCTTTACGGTGAACCAGGAATAGGAAATGAACTGACCAGATGTGGTGGCTCACATCTGTAATCCCAGCACTTTAAGTGACTGAGGTGGGAGGATCGCTTGGGCCCAGGAATTTGTGGCCAGCCTGGGCAACAAAACAAGATCTCAACACTACAAAAAAAAATAAATAAATAAAATAAAAGAAATTAGCCAGATGTGGTGGTGCAGGCATGCAGTCTCAGCTACTAGGGAGGGCGGAGGACCACTTGGACCCAGGCAGACAAGGCTGCAGTGAGCTATTACTGCAACACTGCACACCAGCCTGGGCAACAAAATGAGGCCATGTTTCTAAGAAAAAAAGAAAATAAACTGTTTTTCTGAGTTCTGTAAGCTGTTCCAGCAAGTGATTAAATCAAAGAAGGGGGTCATGAGAACCTCTGATTTGTAATAGGTTGGTCAAAAGTACAGGTGAAAACCTGATACTTGCCATTGGCATCTGAAATGAGGGTAGTCTCATGGGACTGAGCACCTAACTTGCAGGGTCTGTGTGAGCTCCAGGTAGTGTCAGAATAACATTTTGGGATACCCAGTTAATATCCAGAACACTGAAGAATTTGGTGTATAAGCTCCACACACACAATCAGTCAATTGAAGTGTGTGACTAGAGAGAAACACAGGCTTTCCTTTCACCTACCTGCCTAACTGCATAGGAGAAGCAATACGTGGTGCTCATGAACAAAGCAAGCATTAAAGTCAAACCAGGCCCTACATTTGACTCAGCTTAATATCCATGTGAACTTGGGCAAATCACTCATTATCCCTAAGTCTTTATCATCTCACTTATAAAATGGGGATAACTGTGGTACCTGCCTGTGATTTTGTGAGAATTCATGAAATATTATACTTGATGTTACTGTGATCATCATACTTATTTCAAACTATCTGACAAGGACAGTGATGGATGATAACATCACCAGATTAGAAACTGTTGTGAGGTCTCTCAGGCAAAATTCCATACAAGCAAATTACTATCTCTCCAAAGCATTCCTGCCACACTTAATTCCCCATTCCCTGAACCAAATGTGCCATCTTAATTGTCCAGGTCTTTACAGTGCTGGTTTCCCTGCCCATTCCCCATCCCTCCACATCCCCCTTCCCTCGCCACTCTCACACAACTCTTCCTCATCTTTCAAAAGCTGGCTTCACTGTCCCCTTCTCTGGAAGCTTCTCCCACTCTCGAGAAGAGCTTCCCATTGCACTTGATGCATGCACTATTATTTGATCATTTTTAAGTTATTGTCCAAGTCTTTTTGTACCTGAATAACATGAGGCCCAGTCAGTCTCCTCCTGAACTCTGAAGTCTTTCATGGTAGCTCCAGCTGGAAGTGACAAAAAGACATTCTTTTAAAATAAAAGAAGGAATGACATGGACATCCATCCAATCCTATAAAAGTTTTAAAACGTATGTGAAAGGCAAACAAAATTCAAGAACTTCTAGGAAAAACATAGGAGAGAAGGTGTTACTGGGAAATATGCTAAAGGGTTAATTTTTATTTTATTTTACTTTTTTGAGAAAGAATCTTGCTCTATCCCCTAGGCTGGACCACAGTGGTACAATAAGAGCTCACTGCAGCCTCAACCTCCAGGGCTTTAGCATTCTTCAAACCTAATTTTTATTTTATTTAAGAAATGCATTCTTACTGTTACCAAAGCTGGAGAGCAGTGGTGTGATCATAGCTTACTGCAGCCTCAACCACCTAGGCTCACGTGTTCCTCCAGTCTCAGACTCCCCAGTAGCTGGGACTACAGGTGTGCACTGCCATGTCCAGCTCATTTTATCTTTAATTTTTATTAGAGACAAAGTGTTGCTATGTCGATGAGGCTGGTGTTGATCCTTTTCCCTCAAGCAGTTCTCCCACCTCAGCCTTCCAAAGTGCTGGGATTACAGGTGTGAACTGCTACACCTGCTGAGGAGGTTAATTTTTAATGATATAAAGAGCTCAAAGCAAATATTAGAAGGAGCCTAAGTGGCTATAGAGCCTGACTGGTTAATTGCGATATATCCATATAAAACATTATGTGACCATGAAAAGGATTCAGATAGATCAATAGATATTGACACAGATGTTAACGAAATATGAAAATGAGAAGTGATATTTAATTAGCCCATATGTATTTGAAGAATGTGGCCAATTATTTCCTGAGATAAGATTATAGGTCTGAAGAGTAAAGGAAAATTTTCACTTCTTTATTTAAAAGTATTTACTATTTTTATAGTTTAATAAAAGGTTAAATATATAGATCATCTAATTAGCAAAAGTCACATTAACTCTATAAATAAACAGAAAACACATGGACAGCCCAGCCTTGGTGGCTGATGCTTATAATAGCAGCACTTTGGGAGGGGGCGGTGGGAAGATTGCTTGAGGCCAGGAATTCCAGAGCAGACTGGGAAACATAGCAAGACCTCGTCTCTACTAAGAATAAAAAAAATATTAGCCAGGCATGGCAGCATGTGCCTATAATTCCAGTTACTGAGGTGGAAGGATCACCTGAGCCCAGGTGGTCAAGGCTGCAGTGAGTCGAGACTGTACCACTATACTCAAGCCTGGGATACAGAGTGAGACTTGGCCTCCCAAAAAAGGAGGGGGCAAAAAAGAAAGCTAGCTGGGCATGGTAGCTCACACCTGTAATCCCAGCACTTTAGGAGGCTGGTCAGTTGGATCACTTGAGGGAGAGAGTTCGAGACCAGCCTGACCAACATGGAGAAACCCTGTCTCTATTGAAAATACTTAGCCAGGTAGGGTGGCACATGCCTTTAATTCCAGCTACTCTGGAGACTGAGGCAATAGGATGGCTTGAATCTAAGAGAAGGAGGTTGCAGTGAGCAGAGATTGTGCCATTGCACACCAGCCTAGGCAACAAGAATGAAACTTCATCTGAAAAAGAAATAAAGAAAGAAAGAAAGAAAGAAAGAAAGAAAGAAAGAAAGAAAGAAAGAAAGAAAGAAAGCTAATAAACTAATATAAGAAAATATATATTAAAATGTAACAAATATAAAGCATTATGAGGTCTTTTATTTATTAAAAATAATCAAACAAAAAATAACTTATTATACCCTGTGCCAGCAAATGTGCAGTGAAATGGGCAGTTTCTTTTACTATTAGTGATGTTTAAATTGTATATAAGCCTTCCATCAGGGTAAAGCTTGGGAATTTTAAAAAAATAATACAGTGACTCACTGTACTGCCTCCTCCAACTCCTGGGCTCAAGCAGTCCTCCAACCCAGCCTCCCAAAGTGCTGGAATTACAGGCTGACAGCCACCATGCCTGAAAGCTCAGCAATTTACATCAAGTATAATAAGAATGCTAATGTCCTGTGACTCACAGTAATCTCATTTCTGGAAATATCATCTTTAGATATAATTCAACCTAAAGTAAAGGTCATATGCACAAACAGTGAAAATCTAAGAGTAATATTTTTCTGTTTTAAAAACATACGGAATGCTTCACAAATTTGCATGTCATTCTTGCACAGAGGCCATGCTAATCTCTCTATTGTTCCAACTTTTGTATATGTGCTACTGAAGCAGGCATGAGTAATTTAAGATAGAGTGGTTAAGTGAAATAAGGAAGAGTTATGGGGAATTAAAAAATGTATGGTATTTATAGGCACCTAGTAACAGCTCAGTAAATATTAGCTGCTACTTTTATTATTTCTATGGTAATTCCACTCCATTAAAAATTGTCATTAAAAATTTACCACTTTCATGGAACATCATGTATTTAACAGTATAATTGTAAAAACAGTTAGAGGCTGGGTGTGGTGGCTCACACGTGTAATCTCAGCACATTGGGAGGCCAAGGCAGGTGGATCACCTGAGGTCAGGGGTTCGAGACTAGCCTGACCAACATGGAGAAACCCCATTTCTACTAAAAAATACAAAATTAGTCAGGTGTGGTGGTGCCTGTAATCCTAGCTACTCAGGAAGCTGAGAAAGAAGAATCACTTGAACCTGGGAGTTGGAGGTTGTGATGAGCTGAGAGTGCACCATTGCTCTCCAGCCTGGGAAGAAAAGAGCAAAACTCAATCTCAAAAAAAAAGAAGTCCCGGCACAGTGACTCACAGCTGTAATGCCAGCACTTTGGGAGGCTGAGGCTGGGCAGATCACCTGAATTCAGGAGTTCAAGACCAGTCTGGCCAACATGGTGAAATCCTGTCTCTACAAAAATATAAAAATTAGCTGGGCATGATGGCAGGTGCCTGTAATCTTAGCCTACTCTTACCCCTGGGAGGTGGAGGTTGCAGTGAGCTGAGATTGTGCCATTGCACTCCAGCCTAGGCAACAGAGCAAGACTGTCTCAAAAACAAAACAACAAAACAAACAATTTGTCCCTTGGTATATGGAGGGATTGGTTCCAGCTCCCCCATATCTGTGTATACCAAAATCCATGCAAGCACCTGTAGTCCCAGCTACTTGTGAGGCTGAGGAAGGATTGCTTGAGCCCAGGAGGTTGAGGCTGCAGTGAGCCATAATTGCACCACTGTACTCCAGTCTGGGCAACAGAGTGAGAAAGAGGGTTGACTTTTTAATATAATTTTTTGGTTCATGTGAGAATTTGTTCAGAACTGTGGCATATGAAAATTCTTCATAGAATAATTATCTAATCAAGTTAATGCTAGAATTGGGAACAGAAAATGTTTTGTTGACTTTATTCCTTCACTTGCTGTTATATAAACTATTGCCAGCAGGCACTTACCAACCAGAAGTGTTATCTCAGAGCTACTCACAATGAAAGGTGATGTCTAGGGCCCAGGTGTGTTGAAGTCTCCATGCCTTGGCTATGGGTGTTGAGTGGGACTTATTTGCCCATCCATTTTCTATATTCCAGCACTGGAAAACTTGTGTTTATCCATCTTGATAAGATGTAATTTAAATTTAACTTGGCAAGAACCACAAATGGAAGAAAGGTCATGAAACCACAGGATAGTACTTGTCCTCAGGGGACTCTTCAGCTTAGATGCTTCTGTGAAAAAGGAATAACATTGTTGAAAGCTCATCACAGGTCAGGTGAGGTGCCTCATATCTATAATCCCAGACTGCTGGGAGACTAAGGCAGGAGAATCCCATGAGGCCAAGTGTTCAAGATCAGCCTTGGCAACACAGTGAAACCTCATCTCTACAAAAAAATTAGAAAATGAGCTGGGTATGGAAGCACATTCCTGTAGTCTTAAGTGGAGGCTTAAGTGGGAGGATAGTTGAACCCAGAAAGTGGAAGCTGCTGTGAGCAATGATCTTACCACTACACTCCAGCCTGGGTGACAGAGTGAGACCATGTCTACACACACGCACACACACACACACACCTCAGTCTGTCCAGCCTTGACTAATGAAAAGGGTCTTCTGGTTACAGAAGAGGTGTGCTCTTTTGTAGGACAGGAAGGGACTAGCAAGCTTGTTCACAGCCTTTCCTCATCCTCTGCTTATTTTTCCAAGAACCTTCAAGGGAGTTCCTAGGGAAAGGACCTAAATCTTCCAGTTGCCAGAGGAGAAATATGCCTGCTTTGTCAATTAATAAATGGAACACCTGCCATGAAAACCAGGAAGTTCTGCTAAGATGAACCACTCCCTACGACAGTGACCTATGCAGGAAACATGAGAAACTGGAGTCTGGGAAACAATAATATTGAAGGCCACATTCCAGATTGTGGAGATCTAACCAAAGTACAGCCTTTTCACAAGGTACTGTCAAATAACAGCTGGCTGTCTCCATGGGGCATTGCTGTATCTCTGGCTCTCATTTCCCTCGGAGATGCTCTATTCCAGCTTTCTCTTGCATGTTGTATTCCGTAGTTCCTGGTGTAAGACCTCACAAGAAAGCAAACTGCTGAGTCAATGCTGACCTACAGATCTGACTTCAGATTCTAGCAGGACTCTTTCGGTTTAAGAAATTAAAGAGGAGAAAATGGACCCAGCCTGGCACTGGCCAGCTTAGCAGTCTGAAGATAGAAGCTGCTCAAAATGACTACAGTGCCTCTGACTTTCTGAGTCTGCCCTTGCTCCTAGGGCTCTTTTGATGAGATTTATTTCTCCTTGTTGAAGAAATGGTTTGCTGGAATATAAAAAACTTAAAGAAGAAAAAAATATTAAAATATAATTTTCTCCTAAAGAACACTCAAAAGTACACTCCCACCAATGCTGGATCTATTTATCTCTCTCTTTTTTTTTTTTTTTTTTTTCTGAGATAGGGTCTCACTCCGTTACCAAGACTGGAACACAGTGGCGAGATCACAGCTCACAGCAGCTTTCAACTCCTGGGCTCAAGCGATCCTCCCACTTCAGCCTCCCAATTAGCAGGAATTACAGGTGCATGCCACCATGCCTAATTTTTTAAATTTTTTGTAGAGAAGGCTGCTATGTGGCCTAGGCTGCTCTTGAACTCCTAGATCAAACTAATCCTTCTGCCTTGGCCCCCCAAAGTGCTGGAATTATAGGCTTTAGGCACCACACCCAGTCTATTTATCTTTCTCTCTCTCTCTCTCTCTCTATATATATATATATATATATATATGCATACACAAACACATATACATATATAAAATCTCATATATTAAATGTTCCTCCTTAAATCACCTCCTACCCACCCATCTGCAGGGAGAGCAAACACAGGTCTCAGCGGATCAGGCAAACTACACCAAGAAAGGAGGCTGGAGTAATGCCAGAAACCAGGAGGAACTGTAGCAAATGGCAAGGTATTCACTTCAAAGGTTTTTCAACACTGCGATGGTCAAACCAAACACAGAAACAGGAAGCCCAGTTCAGTCACCAGAAGCCAACATGGGATATTTGATCTACATGCTACAGGGCAAACTGTTTAGGATGAATGACCTCGTCTCCACCACCCTGTTCTTCAAGTCCCTCCTGCCCAGTAGTCCCTACACTCTGCTGACATGACCCACATTCACAGGACTCTCCTGACACCTTTGCTTGTTTGTCTTTTTTCCCCAATGAATATTTTCTTTTCTTTTTTTTCCTTTTTGGATACAGAGTTCACCTCTGTCACACAGGCTTGAAGTAAAGTGAGGTGATTATGACTCACTGCAGATTCCATCTCCTGGGCTCAAGTGATCTTGCCTTCCAAGTAGTTGGGATTACAAGCATGTACCACCATACCTAGTTAAGTTTATTATGATGATGATTATTATTTTGAGATGGAGTCTCATTCTATCATCCAGGCTGCAGTGAAGTGGCACAATGTGGGCTCGCTGCAACCCCAGCCTCCCGGGTTCAAGTAATTCTCCTGCCCCAGTCTCCTGAGTAGCTGGGATTACAGACATGCACTAGCAAGCCCAGCAAATTTTTGTATTTTTAGTAGAAATGGGGTTTCACTATGTTGGCCAGGATGGTCTCAATCCCTTGACCTAGTGATCTGCCTGCCTCGGCTTCCCAAAGTGCTGGGATTACAGGCATGAGCTGCTGTGCCTGGCCAACCTTTTTTGTTTATAAACTACTGAGCCTCACATGTATGCTTATAACAATGCAAAATAGACTAATATAACATTCGTATGCCAACACTTACCAGACTGTGAGGAGCACAATGACAAAAGTTGAGTGGGACTGAAATGCTCCCAAGGGGCTTCTTGTCACATCACAGAGAATGGGGTGAGACACCTCAGCTGAGGCTAAAGATGAGCAAAGATGAGAGTCAAAGAGTGATGATGAGGGCTGGGGATGGTTTCCTGAAGAAGGACCAGTAAAGTCCCCCAAGGAAACTGACATTCTATGTGGCTGGAGGGTAAGGATATGGGGAGGGTGGTGCAGGATAAAACTGGGAAGGTAAGCCAAGGCCAGCTCTTACCAGGTCCTGTGGCCAAATTAGTTTGGATTTTATCTTAAAGGCAATGGGTGGTCGCCAGCAGGCTTTAATCAAGACCATTTTGACCCAAATTTGCCTTTTAGAAAAATTCCTCTGGCTTCAGTGTATAGGCTGAAGTGAGCAAGCCTAGAAGTCAGGAAGAAAATTGGAGGCCTTTGCAATAAAACAGCACAAAAGAAAACAGGGCTGGGCATGGTGGCTGCTGCCTATAACCTCAAAACTTTAGAAGTCTAAGGTGGATGGATGTCTTGAGCCCAGGAGTTTAAGACCAGCCTGAGCAATGTGGTAAAACCACATCTCTACAAAAACACAAAATATTAGCTGGTTGTGGTGGCTTGTACCTGTGGGTGTACCTCAGCTACCCCAGAGGCTGAGGCAGGAGGATAGCTTAAGCCCGGGAGGTTGAGACTGCAGTGAGCCAAGATCACAGCATTGTGCTCCAGCCTGGGCAACAGAGGGAGACTGTCTCAAAAAGAAAAAGAATCCCATTATTCACCTATTAGTCCCCCAATGTTCTCAAGAGAACCTTTGATGCAGTGAATTCAACTGTCATTGTAATTCAGAAATTCACACATTTAAGTTTGTGTTTGATTTTCAGTAATATCAACCCTGTGGATACAAGAAATAAGGAATTGTATTTGGGCTATCATGGAAGCTCTCTGGATCTTAGGCCATGATTTATGCTAAGACTTGAGCTTTGTGTTTTTCTCTCTGTGAGTGCTCAAGTGCAGCAGTCCCCAGTTTTTTTTTTGGCACCAGGGACCAATATTATAGAAGACAATTTTTCCACAGACTGGGGTCAGGGGGTCAGTTTTGGAATATTTCAAGCACATTACAATGTGCATTTTGTTATTATTACATTGTAGTATATAATAATTATATAACTCACCATACAATCAGTGGGAGTCCTGAGCTTGTTTGTTTTCCTGCAACTAGACGGTCCCATCTGGGGGTGATGAAAGATAATGATATATTATCAGGCATTAGATTCTCATAAGGACAGAGCAAGGTAGAACCCTTGCATGCACAGTTATACAATAGGGTTCCTGCTTCGATGAGAATCTAATGCTGCCACTGACCTGACAGGAGGTGGAGATCAGACAGCAAAGAGGGGAGTGGCTGTAAATACAGATGAAGCTTTGCTTGCCCACCTGCTGCTCACCTCCTGCTGTGTGACCAAGTACAGGCCTGTGATTCAGGGATTAGGTATGCCTACTCAATTGCATCCAAAAGGACCCTCCCCACACCAGTCTTCATAGTGGTCAAGTACAGAAGCCTTAGCTCCTAAGGCATGTGTCTCAGCTGGCATTTCATCACAATCATCAGTAAGTGGTAGTTTGAAACATTATGAGATCACTTCCTAAAAATCACCAGAATTCCATTTCCCACTGACAAGGAGCTAAACACTGCCCCTTGGATAACCAAACCTATGCTCAAATCCCATTTGTGTGGGTCTTTCTCCCAGAACCCTTCCTAGCATCAGTTCTGTATTTGTCAGAGTCCAATCAAAAGACGTAAATCACCCAAAGTTTAAAGTGGTAAAATTTAAAATAAAAAATATTAAATATAACAAGAGAACACCATAATGAGAGACTGGCTACAAAAGTAAAGAGAATTCTAGAGAACATAGGGCTAGCAGAGGCCAGACATGGTGGCTCATGCTTATAACTCCAGCAATTTGGGAAGCCAAGGCAGGAGGATTGCTTGAGGCCAGCAATTTGAGACCAGCCTCAGAAACACTGTGAGACCCTGGCTCTACCAAAAAAAAAAAAAAAAGCCAGGTGTGGTGGCACACTCTTGTATTCCTAGTTACTTGGAAGGCTGAGGTGAAAAACATTTCTTCAGCTCAGGAGGTTAAGGCTGCGGTGAGCCATGATTTCACCACTGCACTTTAGACTAGGCAAAAGAGAGAGACCCTGCCTCAGAAAAACAAAGTATAGGACCAGCTGTTACAATGAGCAGTAACTTCCTACTGTCCCTACACTAAGATAGAGTGACCAAGGAAGGGATTCCCCACTAAGGCTGAGATCCAGGCCCCCTTTGAGAGGGCACAGTCATGGGTAATTCAATGGCAGAATTGCTGCATTACCACATGGTGAAACATGATAGCAATATGCCCTCTGGAATTTGCTGAAAATCCACCATCTAGGGTGCTAGCTTAACCTACTAGTAAACAGTTGTCTCACTACAAAACCAACCAGGCAAATGCAGAGAAACTGCTGGTCACTGTTTGCTGCTAAGCCCCATGCAAGGCAGGAGCCTTGTGCTGGAGAAGCTCAGTGCCTGTGGAGATTTGCATACCACAACTAGAAAGAAAAGCCTCTTATAATGCCCCTCTAGCACCATGTCCTGACAACATTTAATACTGCACCAGTTGACAGAGGAAACATTTAAGGAAACCACCTCTATGTTTGCAGAGCAGGCAGTGAAGGGTGAATTTGGAACTGAGGGCAGACATTGGATGAATAGCTGGTACATGACACATTTCCATCTACCAAAGAAGAAAGAAAAGAGAGAAAAATGAGAAAAAATCAGGCATGGTAGTTCACACCTGTAATTGCAGCAGTTTGAAAGGACAAGGCAAGTGAATCACGTAGGTCCAGGAGTTTGAAACTAGCCTGGGTGACATAGAGAAATCCTGTCTCCACTAAAAATAAAAAAAAATTAGCTGAGTGTGGTGGCATGTGCTGTAGTCTCAACTTCTCAAGAGGCTCCTGGGTTCAAGCAATTCACCTGCCTCAGCCTCCCAAGTAGTGGGGATTACAAGTACTCACCACCACACTCAGCTAACTTTTGTATTTTTAGTAAAGACAGGATTTCACCATGTTGGCCACATCAGTCTCAAACTCCTGACCTCATGATCTACCCACCTCGGCCTCCCAAAGGCTTCTGCTCTTTCTTTGCCCACTTAATCTAAGAAAACTAAGCTAAAATAAATTTTGTAACCAAACCTAAATGAAGCTCTCTAAGTGGTGTGGCTACTATAATCAAAAGACTTGAAATTCCCTTGACCCAAAAATAACTATCTGGAAGCCAAGAATGACTATTTGGAAGTCAGCATCATCAGAGTACATTTCAGAGGAAAACTAGAATATGTCAGTGTAAACTATGAAAGTCCAGAGACTTTGTTTGAGTAAAACTAGGTGCAGAAAAACCATGGGCTCCATGCATGATTGGTATTGTAAAAGAGGCCACAGGGAGTAGAATTAAATATAACACCCTCAGCCAGCTGCAGTGGCCTCACACCTGAAATCCCAACATTTTGTGAGGCCAAGGTGGGCAGATCGTTTGAGGTCAGGAGTTCGAGAGGAGCCTGGCCAACATGGTAAAACCTCATCTCTACTAAAAATATAAAAATTAGCCAGGCGTGGTGGCAGGTGCCTGTGATCCCAGCTACTTGGGAGGCTGAGGCAGGAGAATCACTTGAACCCAGGAGGCAAATGTTGCAGTGAGCTGAGATCACACCACTACACTCCAGCCTGGGCAACAGAATAAAATTCCATCGGCAAAGCTTCTTCTAAACTCAATTTAAGACACCATGTACCACAAACCAGATAGCAAGAAATTAAATAAATTTTAGCCTTTTCATGACATCCAATTACATCTTGGTCAGTTCACAAACATGTTTTGGCAAATGCTGGAGTTTTTCTTTTTAGGAGTCCTCTCTCACTTTACCCTGCTTAACAAAAGACTTCACATACAAAAAGAATGGAGACAGCCCAGCTTCAGGACATGCTACACAGAGAGAATTGACTGTCCCAAAAAGAGAGGGCTCCACACCCCTCTGACAACTCCACAATAGACCAGCTACACACAAATGCCTGAAGTAAGGAAGTCCATCAAGAATATGAACAGCTGGTGAGATCAAGACTTCTGACCCAAAGGGCCTGCAGCTGGTCTGACGGTTCAACAAAAAGTCTGAATTTAAACGGAGACATATTGGACTGTGACATGCAATAAAAGAACTGAAGCAGCAAAGGGTCAATTTGGGTTTCCTTTCCACTGTATACGGCTCCAGAGAATGGAGAAGTGAGCATGCCTGTAGTACTCCTGACACATCTGGGATATTTCCCATCAACAGTGGTCAACCTTTGGGATCATCCACACATTGCAAGGTCATTGTCCATCTGTGCTAACCTAGAATGTCCAGATAAAAGCTTCTGTTTAGAGACTGAAGAGAAAAATGTCAAACTTGAAAGCCCACGAACTGTCTCAGCCAGGGGGAACACATGAAGGAAACCCTACAGAATCTGACATCAGAAGCCTAATGTCAGATTGACCTCTAAAGATTTAGCATTGTGAGTAATCAACTTATTTTCTCTAGGCTCTGTTATTCTCATATCAATAAAGAGAAAAGTAGACTGAATAGTCTCCCAGATCAATTCCAATCTTAACATCCTCTGGCTTTATGATTAAAGAATGATACTAATTAATAAGGTTAAAACTGTGACTTAACCCCAATAGGAGCCTGCTGGGATTATGCTAAGCAAAACTAGTCCACACAGACAGAGTCATTCTGACCACATCCCTCCCTACACCAGCTATCATACAGATATGCCCCACTAGTATGAGAAGTCCCTTCCACAGAAGACTGACTGATTCAATAATAGGCTGATTTATTCATTCAAATGACAAATATTTACTGAGCACCTTCTAGGTATTTAGGGTTACAACAGAACAAAACAGACAAAATCCCTTCCCTTACTTACACTTTAGTGAAGGAGGAGGGTGAATCAGACATCAAATAGAAAATATAATTAAAGATATATTTTATGCAGGGCAGTGCTGGGATTCACTCAGGGTGGCTGGAAAAATATTAAGGGAAATATTAGGGAAGTATAGAATATAGTCTCAAACCTTTGGGAAGCTGAAAAGTATTAATGAGCCAGGCTGAAGACAGCCAGTTCTTACATTTGAGCTTTAAGTCATAAGGTGAAGATTAAGATAATAAAACTTCCCTGGTTAAGTCTGTTTACCCCACATTCCTTTTTCTCTACTCTGTCTACTCATGTAAACTTCATGCTAGCTGGTCCTCTAAGGGGGAGGTTGAAAAAGAATTACTTCTTAATGGTGTTTATTCTGGACCTCAGAAACAAAAGTTTTTATTATTCTTAACCACTCTTTTAGCCATGTTAATTATCCACAAGCATGTTAACTTAAAATATCTGTTACTACTTCTATACTGAATAAATGCAAGAATGAACAAGGAGTCAATTAGCTGCAATCACTCTGTAAAAGTTGATGACCCCCTAGCCCAACTCTTACAGTGTATTCTGTATGTAAGGGCATATTTTATTCATCTGATACTTACACTAAATAATTGTTTGTTTAATAAGTGAACCTAAATGTTAATTGTAAATATAAAGAAGTCATGATGAGAGGGGAACAAAAGGCCCATCTTCATCAAATTAATCTCTTCTTAGGGAAGACACTGAATTTGTGTCTGCAAATTATCATTTTATCTTTTAATAACAAATTTAATTTGATTGCCCACTTGAATGATGTTTTCCAGCCTTGGGATTCCCTATCATGAGGGACTTCTGAAAGGAATGTTTTCTAGTAGTTCTTCAACACACAGATCATTTACATGTCCTTCAAATTTTTGGTCTTAAAAAAGATCTTCAAAGATTAAACTTTGTTTTTCAATATCCTTAAACAGAAGAGAAAGAAAACCATTATAGACAATAAAGAACATAACGTAACCTGGTGTGCAGTGGCATGATCTCAGTTCCTTGCAATCTCTGCCTCTCAGGTTCAAGCAATTCCCCTGCCTCAGTTTCCCGAGTAGCTGAGATTACAGGTGCCTGCCAGCATGCCTAATTTTTGTATATTTTTAGTAGAGACAGGGTTTAACTATGTTGGCCAGGCTGGTCTCCAACTCCTGACCTCAGGTGATCCACTCACCTTGGCCTCCCAAAGTGCTGGGATTACAGGCATGAGCCAATGTGTCCAATCATAAACACTATTTGGAAGCAGCTTTTTGCTACTATGTGCTCGTGAAGGTAATAACCCTCCTCCATTGGCTGCCATGCAGTAGCGCATTTCAGGCTACACTTTCAGCTGCACTGCAGCCACGAGATCAATGTTCTTTAATCCTTCAACCTCATGAGCATGCTATTTAATAAGAAATAACTTTCCACAAAGAATTCATGGAATGGGAATTAAAAATAGTAAGCACAGCCTGATTTAGATTAAAAGAGGCATAACAACCAAAGTTAGCACATCAAGATTGTTTAAAGCCAGATTTAAAGCCAAATTTTTTCAGATAATGAGGAAATGAGATACTATTTAGATAAGAGTAAGGAAACTCAACTAAGGGCTACATATGAGCTGACACCAAAAAATCATTGTTAAATTTGTCAGATGTGATGAGAGAGTGGCTGTTTGGGGATGCACACTGAACAGTTAAAATGATGTGATGACTGTGATTTGCTTTATAATATTCCTGCAAAGGGAGGTAAAAGAATAGAATAACAACATGTGGACAATCTTAATGATCACAGAAATTGAGGAATGGGTATTTTAGTGTTTATCATACTGTTTTCTCTACTTTTGAATATGTATAAAAACTGTAATTTAAAAATGTAAAAAAAAAAATGGTCCGGAGCAGTGGCTCACTCCTATAATTCCAGTACTTTGGGAGGCCGAGGCAGGTGGATCACTTGGGTCAGGAGTTAAGGGACCAGCCTGGCCAACATGGTGAAACCCTGTCTCTACCAAAAATACACACACACAAAATTAGCCAAATGTGGTGGCAGGCACCTGTAGTCCCAGCTACTCAGGAGGCTGAGGCAAGAGAATCACTTGCACCCAGGAGGAAGAGGCTACAGTGAGCCAAGATCATGCCACTAGACTCCATCCTGGGTGACAGAGTGATAATCTGTCTCAAAAAATGAAACGAAAAACAGAAACAAAAATAAAGTAAAAATTAATTTACTATTCCCTGCTCTGAAGCCACAACCAAACAGAATTCTAGAAAGAAAGATTTTAGCAATTTACATGGTGGTATTTATATAGAGATCTCCTTGCACCTTTGTATGTAAATTTAAATATTTTGCAACCTGATGGCTGGGAGTGGCTCAAAGCTGGGCATGGTAACACATGCCATTAGCCCCAGCCACTTAGGACACTGAGGCAGGAGGATAACATGAGCCCAAAAGTTCTAGTCAAGCCCAGACAACATAACAAGACCTGGTTTCTTTAAAAAGAAATGGAGAGCTGTGAGGGAGTTTACTGATGAATTATTTTGGTGATATCAACAAGTGCTATCAAAACACTATTATAAAATCCAAAATTACATCTATTGCCAGATTTCTCTCCTTACTTCTTGACTCATTTATCCAATTGTCTCCTCTATCTCCACATCTCAACTTGAAAGAAATTAATTTCTTTGTTCTTAGATTGACTTTCCTCTAATATCTAAGGTTTGTATGAAATTCTTACTTCATGTTATGAGCACCAAATCTGAAAGGGTCTAGTATAGGAACTCTTTGAGATACGAAACACACAAAATGAAATAGTTATCATATCTGTAAAAAGAAATATGCCCATAAACAAACAACAGTAAAAAATTAGAGGCTTTCAGTCACACTAAAGGATGATGTTAAATAAAATTATTCTGTTAATTCAACAAGAAACTATATAAACCTAATTCTAACCAACCGTCTATAAAATAAAAAAGAACCAATTGTCAGAGCTGATAGTAAAAAGTGGAAGTTTTAGAAAGAGGTGAAGTCAACTGCAGAACATGCCCATCACATATCATAAAGGCTGCCCCAATCACACCCATCCCTCTTATTCCACATAGTATCACCTGAGGTCAGGAGTTTAAGATCATCCTGGACAACATAGAAATATCTTCTTCTCTACTAATAATACAAAATTAGTCTGGTATGGTGGTGGGTGACTGTGAGGCAGGAGAACTCCTTGAACCCAGGAGCCAGTGAGCCAAAATCACACCATTGCACTCCAACCTGGGTAACAAGAGTAAAAACTGTCTCAAGAAAAAGAAAAACAAATTCCTTTGGGAAGGCTTTCTTCATAGAGATCTTCAACATGAGACTGAAAAAAAAGGGTATGGAATCATCGCCAGACCTTTGACTTTTACAGCTTGAGGTATAAGGACAAAAAGAAAAAGGGATATCATTTAAACGCAATTTGTAGGAAAGAATAATTATTGAATCTGCATTGCTTTTTAACTTCCTTTTCTTGAAACAAAGTTACACTCTTGTCACCCAGGTTTGAGTGCATTGGCACGATCTTGGCTCACCGCAAGCTCCATTTCTCAGGTTGAAATGATTCTCCTGACTCAGCCTGCTGAGTAGCTGGGATACAGGAGCCTGCCACCACCCCAAGCTAAGTTTTGTATTTTTTGTAGAGACAGAGTTTCACCATTTTGGCCAGGCTGGTCTTGATCCCCTGACCTCAGGTGATCCACTCGCCT